CTGATGCTAAGCAACCTGTCATTCCTCGAGCAAAAGATCCACCAAGTTCAGGATATTGTTCGATCAATAATTAGCCAGGAAGGCCGAGCTAATGAGTTGGCAGCACAGCAGCAGCTTGTCACAGCAGATCTAACTTACATCATTATTCAATTGATCTCGACGGCTGGCACTCTTCTTCCCAACATCAAGAATGCACTCCTATCAGCTACTCCTCCTGTTGCTCAGACAGGTGTCGTGGCTAACTTGCCTGTGAATGCTAGTCAGAAACATCATGAGGTCTTGTCGGTGGAGTTAGCCAAAGCTTCCGAGTATGATGAGCTTATCAAAGATTTGAATAGTGGTGGTGAAGGAGATGAGTTAATTAAATGTTTGAATAATTCTGTGGCCGAAGTATCAGAGTCCATCCCTATTGAAGACCATGACATCAAGGATTATGATGATGGTATGGATGGAGAGAACCTCCCCCCTGGTTCTTATGAAGTTCTGCAACTGGAAAAAGAGGAGATTTTGGCACCACATACCCATTTCTGTTTGATCTGTGGAAAGGGGTTCAAGAGAGATGCAAACTTAAGGATGCACATGAGAGGTCATGGCGACGAGTACAAGACTGCAGCTGCTCTTGCTAAGCCTAGCAAGGAAGCAAGCTCAGAACCAGCAATAATAAGGAGATACTCATGCCCCTTTGTCGGCTGCAAGCGGAACAAAGAGCACAAGAAGTTCCAACCCCTCAAGACAATTCTGTGCGTGAAGAACCATTACAAGAGAAGCCACTGTGACAAAAGCTATACCTGCAGTCGATGCAAAACCAAGAAATTTTCGGTTATTGCAGACCTGAAAACACATGAGAAGCACTGTGGCAGGGACAAGTGGATTTGTTCGTGCGGGACAACATTTTCAAGAAAGGATAAGTTGTTTGGGCATGTTGCTCTCTTCCAAGGTCATACCCCCGCCATTCCCATGGATGATGCCAAAGTTTCAGGAATGTCAGATCATGTACAGGTCGGTGAAACAACGAACGGAATGGTGGCAAACATGGGCTACAACTTTAGTGGCAATGCCTCGGACGATGCTCAAAGTCTCGACATAAAAGATGTTGACGACGGCCAGGGTTATTTCTCACCCATGAACTTTGATGCATGCAACTTTGGGGGACTCGATGAATTTCCACGTTCTGCATACGATGTTTCCGAAAGCCCTTTCTCTTTCCTTTCGACTGGCACTTGCAGTTTCATTCCGAGAAATGGCGAAAACTAAGTGCCAGCCTGCAGGGATGATCAATTGCTCAGAACATCAATATCTAGTTGCATAATAAGTCGTGTTGTATGATTTGGCTAGTTTCTTCTTTTGCCTTGCTTTTTGTGGGTAAAGGAACCATTGCAGATCCATCCTTTGTGTAGTATGTACTCCATGAATATGACCCATGGTGTTATCTCAAAGCTTGGCTTTTCCTTAAATGATTCTCTATTGTTCTCACTGTGAGATCATAAATATATATGTGATGGTTTAAGCATTCTAACATTATTGAATCCTTAAAACTGAAGGTTTCTATTAATCTAGTATTTGATCTCGAAGCAATTGTAGTTCAAGTCTTATTGCTTTTATATTAGCCAATATTTTCCTTTTCGCTTGTGGTGGCCACTATACTTCTTTTCCAAAACAGAAAAAAAAAACTATATATGACTTGCTGAAAGGCAGTTCTTTGTTCAGGTCTCTTCCAACTCTTTTCATTGAAACATGTGCTTTCATCAATTAGCTCATTGCTAAAATCTGCAGGTTTAGTCAGGTGGTTACTAAATAGCTATGCATTTGAATCCACAATTCTGTGTGTGTGATGAGAGAGAGAGAGAGAGAGAGAGTTGGTTGATGCTCTAATCAGAGGTGGTCAGTAAATAATTATGCATTTATGTGTGTGAGAGAGAGCTGATGAATCTGCATCTCTAATCAGGTAGTCATGTAGTCAGAAAATAGTTATGCACTTGAATCCACAGTTTTCTGTGTGTGTGAACATGTGTGTGTGTGAGAGAGAGAGAGAGAGAGAGAGACCACACTTCCATCTACAGATGGTTGGTTTGATTGGTGTTCTCAAATTGTGCTCATCTTTTGCCAAAAGTTGTAGGCAGCAAGCAAAGTCATTGGAATAAGCCATTGCATGGGAATATTGAATCTTGCAGCAGGAGAGAAATGTGCAACAGAGGGACCCTCATTGTTTATGTCATGGCTGACATCGACAATGAAAGGGATTTGAATCAAACACTACCTTTTGAACAACCTACTTTGAAGCTTTGAATTGCTTGCAAGATTCTGATCTGCTTCCTCCTCCACATTTCCAGTTACCAAAGGCCAAATCTCCTTCACGCAGCTCTCGGAACCAATGTGATTGATCCAAAGGACAACATCCACCAACCTTCTCCTCATAGTCTAAAGAAGATATGACACAACAAGAAGAAACTGCAAAACACATGCACAACAGTGAAACTATCTCCTTTTCTTGTGTCCCCATAATTCTGAATTAATTTGATCTTTTTTTGTTGTACTTTCTTATTATCAAACAATCTGATTTGAGAACTAGAAATTTTTTTTGCCATTATATCATCCTGGTCAACAAACACGAGTAGAGAGAGAAGAATAGAATGGACTGAGCAGAATTTACTGGATAAATTGATGTTCTGCCATGGTCAGTTGCCACTTGGAATCAGTGCAACTCAGTCATGGAGTGTCTTTGTTTATGAAAACTGTTGTTCCTCTCTGCAAAATATCACTGTCAAATCTTTGACATTTTGGCATTATTTCCGGTGCAAAGTTTGACATTTCTCCACGTTGAAACCTTTGGTATGTCAAATCTTTGATCATCTTTCATAAACAAATGAATTCTGTTATGTTCCATTGTAAGACATTTTGATTAGAACATTGATGATACCAAATAGTCTTGCCATGTTTCCATGGAAATTAGATATGTTTTATTATATCTTATGGTTTTTGACTTGCCAGTTATATTCCACAAAGCATGTTTGACAAGAAATAGAGCAATTAGCACAAAATTTTAGCCTCTATTTTTTTTTTCTTTGGTCTCAGCAGGATTCATCATCTGTATCATTTTCTAAGCATTTAGAATATTTGTTAGCTAGGATATGCTACTTTGTCAAGGTTGGACATCAGTCTACAGAGACCATTTGTATAAGCCAAGGCAGAGTGTTAATATACTATAGTAGAAAGTCCTAAGAATAAGATTACAAAACAAAATACTATTTTGTTAGTAATATTCATATTTGTAAGATGAAGAAAAATGAACTGAGATCATTATTACATACTGAGTTTGAAATGATGTATAGATGAAATATATGATCTCTACACATTAATTCCTGTAGCAAATACTCCTTTACATGCAATAGTAGCTTCGGCAGATGTTGTTAACAAGAGAGCTACTGGTAATATCAGAGACAGATTTATAATTGCTTTTGCAGCAAGATCTGAAAGTTGGTAGTTCTTACTCGAGTGAGTGATGTCTCTTATGAATGCAATACAGATGAGAGAGAGGAACTACAGAAAGGAGAAATCATAGACTACCCTCCTCCAGTGACTGAAACAGTAATCTTGAGCTCCATCATAAATGTTGTAAGAGATCTATGAAAGCAACATAAAGCTTTAGCAGACCATGCAGGGAAGATGAAGCTGATGGTCAATCAGATAGCCAGGTTGGGTTTAATTACATACATATATGAAATCATCTTTTCTATCATTCTTTTTTATGAGAAAAAAATAGGGTGCAGTTGACCACATGTTTGAGCTTGACTTGGTCATTTTGACTATAACTATGATGTTGACTCCAGAACAGGTGACCGTTGATGTGTCTTCTTGAAGATGACAAGGTCAAACGTGGAACATATTCCATCTCATGCTTTGAATAGAGACCACCATGAATTATATCTCATCCACTTGCCATGGAAGGGTGAAAAGAAAAGATGCGTCCGTCGTAGCTTAGTCGACCGGAACAAATTTGTGGCACCCAAGTTACTACTCTCCATCGACGAGGGAACGAGATGACCTGCTGCGATCGGTATCGTCGATGGGAGAGTTGACGAACTAAAACCTACTATTTCGATTGAGACATAGTAAAAAAAGTCAACGATAATTGGTTCTCCCATCCTAGAGTGAACAGTAGTTCTTCGCTACGCTCCACACAATGTAAGATTTCTGGTGGAATGGAATGAAGACCAACAACATGAGGCAAAAGTCTGACCCGTATTGGAAAAGTCATTCCTACAGTCCTAATCGCTTTACCGGTCAATGTTCCACCCACAAACCATCAGCCGATAAATTATCCCCTTGCAAGAGAAGTCAAACGATGGACAGTGTTTGGTCTTTGAAGGAACACTTCTCCTCCACATGATTATTATCATTCTCATCATCAAAGAATTAACTATGTTCTTCGGCTACAAACATGCTTATACTTGAAACAAAGGTTGACTTGTTTCTGAATAATAATAAGCTTACTGTCTTTAATGAAGAGGCGGATTAATAGAGAGTTGGTCACCAAATATGTATTGGTCCAAACCTTAAAGATTAGATGAATCTATTATCATTAACCTAGTTGAATCTTATTTTTACTCAAAATAGAAAAAGATCATGAGCTTCACTTGCATCATTCTAGGATTTGTTTTTTTTAGTATGATGATCATAAATTAGTAAAAAAGATTTAAATAAATTTAGTCTTATTTAAAGAAAGTAAAAAAAAAAAAGAATTAAATAAACTTAAGATTTAAGTATTTTGGATTAGTAGTTCCAACTCAATAGATTAATATGCCAACTATGTGATACTCTCTCTTTTTAAGAACACAAACTCAATAGATTGACAGTGCAAAATGCTCTTCCTACCATATACTGTTGGTCAATCGGACCACGTAGTGGTTGCATTCCACAACCTTCCCCTCTCTCCCCTCTCCTATAAACTGCTCCCCACTCCTTCCATCCTCAACTCCATCCCCACCCACCACTCTCTCTCATCAACCATGGGCAGGGCTCCTTGTTGCGAGAAGGCTCACACCAACAAAGGAACATGGACAAAGGAAGAGGACCAACGCCTCATCTCCTACGTGAGAACCCACGGCGAAGGCTGCTGGAGATCTCTCCCTAAAGCTGCAGGTTCTTCTTTATGCTTTCTTCTTCTTCTTCTCCTTCTTCTTCTTCGGTTCCATGTCACTGAGACTGTAGCTTCCTCTTCTCCTCAGGCCTTCTGCGCTGCGGCAAGAGCTGCCGCCTGCGGTGGATAAACTACCTCCGCCCTGACCTCAAGCGCGGAAGCTTCACCGATGAAGAGGACGAGCTCATCATCAAGCTCCATGGCTCGCTCGGAAACAAGTTACTCTTCTTCCTCAGCTCAATTACCTGCAGGTTTGATGGCCTGCAACGATTTTACGCTCCTGGTTCTTGCAGGTGGTCGGCGATAGCCGCGCGGCTACCGGGGAGGTCCGACAACGAGATCAAGAACCACTGGAACACCAACATCAAGCGCAAGCTTGTCGGCCGGGGGCTCGACCCTCGCACTCACCGCCCCGTCCACGGTGGCTCGCATGACTCGCAGAGCAGCGGAGTAAGTGCCGACGACGACAGCCGGCTCTCCAACCTCGACCTCGACCTGACGATAAGCCTTCCTTCTTCGAGATCATCAGAAACCATTTGCTTCTGCTACCACCTCGGCATTCGCAGCAGCGAGGCATGCAGCTGCCGCACGAGCTCAAGCATGCGCTTTCTTAGCTTCCAGCACACAAGCTCAATCTCGACCTCACCATAAGCCCTTCCTTCTTCGAGATCATCAGTAGCTTTCTTAGTTTCCACAGACTCTGGGAAGAAGAAGAAGCGGAAGATTCAAATCCTCTTCATTTCTCAGCTTCACCTGTGCATGTTGAATTCAGCAGAAAGAGACGGCGGTGAGAGAGTCGAGGATGAGTAGCCTTAGTCTTAGTCCTAATCATACTTTTATCATGTTGCAATCCTCAATGCAGAGCTTGTCAGGGTTTTCAAAGACGTAGACTTGCACTCCATACATGGATGTTAGCATGGATGAGAGTTGGTGGAGCAGAGCATGGATGTTAAAGAGTTTGAATGTAATGTTACATGATTACAAGATCTTATACCATGCACCATTCAAACTAATTAACTAACTAACTAACTAACTAACTGTATATATATTCTTATGAAAACTGGAGGATGACTCTAAAAATATATTACTATATAAACTATAAATTTTTTTGTTATAAATCAATCAATATCTGACCAAATTATAAATAAAAATATATAATTTATCGCAAAGGGCCCCACCCCCCATGTTTGATGTTTTGACTAAAATACCCTTAATAAACAATAAAAAGATGATGATTATCCTTTGACTGGGTTTGACTTCGTTTTTTAGTTCTTCGGCACCGTCTCTTCCCTCGCCTCATCTCCCCCTTTCTTCTCTCAAATCCTGCTCAAAGCCCAAACCCTCGCCGTCTCTTCCTTCGTCCGCCACCGACTCATCTCCCCGTTTCAGTAAAGAATGGCTCGATTCAAAGTGAGCTTTTGAATGCTTGTGTCTCTCGTGGCGCTACCTCTTCCGTACTACTTCACTTCCCCTGTTTGGTTTGATTTTGGTTGCAGAGGAAGAAGGCGCTCCCAAAGCCGTCTACGGTGAAGAATACACCCTGCGTGGATCGGATCACTGGGCAGACGATCCCGAAAGGTTTTGTCTTCTCCAGGGGGAAGCTAGGCCTTCCCAGAGATCTCGAATTGGATCTCCGGAAGCTTATGCTCCCCCATACCACCTTAAAATTAAAGGTCATTGGATACCCTAATCTCTGTTTTATATGATTTTTGATGTTAAACAACTCATTTTACAACCATTTGTTTGATAAAGTTAGTAACACATGATTGTTATGATTAAAATGGGAGAAAGTTATTAAAGCAATTTTATCATTGAACCCCATCTATCTAGTATAATGGAGGGGATAACCTTTTGTTTGTACCTGTTTTTCTTTTTATTCTACTTCATGATTGCATGATATTAAGCACTAATAACGTGTGGGTATGGACTAATCGGTCAGCACCTGATGGGATTAATTTGCTGTGCTTTATGATTGCGAGCTTGATCAACAGTGTTTTCATGTATTTTATTGTGATTCTTGCTTCTGTGGTGACTCGAATCTTCGTATACGCATCCTGATTCTATTCACATGTTTTTATCCCTGCAACACCAGCAGAAGAATGTCCAGTTTGGAATTAAATTTCTAAGGCGACTAAAGGAACTGCTCAAAATCTGGATAAGTCTGACTTAAATGTCAACAAATAATGTGAACATGTCATGTATCTGCATAGTGTTCCTTTTGATAAATTTTGTACATGAAATAAGAAAACACACCTTAAGGATTGTGGCAAGGGACTGTCAGGTCCTCTGCACTTCACTGAGGAACATAAGCTTCTTTTTTGTGCTTTATTGAAGCTCAATTTTTATGCAGCTGGGTCTTCAACTTCTTTTAGTAGAGCAAAAAGATTAATTTTGTTTACTTCAGTGACAGGAGAAGAAACAGAATAAACTCGAAGACTTGTGAATGTTGCAGGGCCTATGGGTGTGACCCATTTTCTTATACCATCAAACTCAAAAGAGCATGCCCCATTTGCGTGTTGCAAGGACACCGCAAGGTCCAACATTAACTTGTAAGATACATGAATATGCGTTGGCTGCTGATATTATTCGATCTCAGTCTCATCCCAGTTGTCCTAAAGAGCTGTTCAGTAACTCGCCCCTAGTAAGTTTCTAGTCTTTTGTATATTGCATCATTTTGATCCAAGCAGATATCTTATATTACATCATTATTGCTGTAGGGCTGGCTATGGTTCAGAAAGTGAAGCTGATGAAGAATCGGCAACTCAGTTTGGCAAGTGAGCTTGACAGAGTAAACCGGGCATCTACCCAAAGTGCTGTTAGACTTCAGGAAATTGGACCTAGGATGACACTTCATTTGGTTAAAGTCTAGGAAGGGTTATGCTCTGGAGCTGTTATATACAATGACTTTGGTAAAGGAGATTGACTCATTTGGTCTCTCTGATGGGTGACAAACCATGTAGTGTTTTCTACGTTGCATCCTAATATGTAGCTGTTATTTTTTTCATCAGTGATTGTGTTTTTTTTTTTATCAGCGATGATATGTTGATTCTTAATGCAGTAAATATTTCTCTTCCCAATTGTGCTTCGTTTTGGATATGATTTGTTTTCCATATTGTTTATTTAGTTTTGGTCTCACGGTGTTATGATACACATAGCGTTGTTGACGGCCTAAACAAGAAAGGCAGGTCAAGGATGCACATCAAGCAAGGGGCCAATAGATTCCCAACTCATTGTGTTCTCAAAAGATAAAACAATCTCCTTATCATGTGGAAAATGTGCTAACTTTATACACGATTACATATATTAGAATGATGCATTGATCAAACAAGTCTAACAGTAAGAAAATTTCCATGGCTCTTCATCTGTCTTCTTGCAGTGAAAGGGGAGAGCAGAATGAAACAGGCTAGACAAACAGGAACAAGCTGAAGGTTAGCTCAAATCAGAGTCAAGTGATGGATGGGAAAAAATCATAAAAGCTTGTGAGACACCTAGTGAAAGACATCAACAGAGAGAATTAGCTTTGAACAATCCACAGGTATAAAGCCTTGGTTCATTATTTTACTGGTCGCATTGCATCTTATTTTTCTTCCTTCTGTAGTGGACATAGTCCGACTTGCTAAAAGCTTTAGTATATGCTCTCTGTTGATAGAATGTTTTTACTTGTAGCCATGGTGTCTTATAGCTTTATCATGACTCTACAATTACTTTTGAGATTTAATGGTGTGTGTTGATAGTATTGAAAGGAAGGTCTAGTTACAGTTTGGTGGAGAAGTACACAACCACACTGTTCCACTTGTCTCATACCATGCAACAGCACTGTTCATTTACCCATCCCATTCTGTAGAGTTAGCCGAACTGGTACTTGTTTTTCAATGCCAATGATTAATGTTTGCTTCAATCTTGCTTATCCCTTCTTGTGTTTTTCTATTCAAAAGAAGCAATGAATTGTCATCTTCCCTTCCAAATTGTCGGCACCAATCAATCGATCGACGTGTTCCATGAGAAACACTTGTATTTGCTCCTCCCTCTACCAAAAGGCCAAAAAAACCCACTGAGCATGAAAAGTAATCCATGAGAGCGACCTCTACCTCTCCTCCCTCCTCACTCTATTATACTCTTTTAATCTCTCATCTCAAGCCAGCCAATCCCTGCCTCCTCCTGCCGGTTTGCCATTATCTTAAAAGCCAGTCTTGGCTATGGTCCAGAGATTCTCAGAGATCGTCCTCAACCCTCCTCATTTTTATGTCTCTCCAGCAAAAATTATAGCTCAGTGGCTCGTACAACAAGTTGGTGAATTTGACCTATCCATCTAATGGGTGATTCAAAAGATTTAGAAGCACTGAGGAAACCACTATAACCACTGTTATTGTCGAGAATTCCAGGATTGATAACCATGAAGTCAGATTGCTTAGGATTAACATATATATGTTTTTTTTTTTTTTTTTATCAATGTAGGACTACTTTTATTTCTTGTTGTATTCTTTATCATGGACATGGATATTTTTCTTTACAGTTCCTTCTATCATATCTCTTTATTCATAGACCTATTTTTCTTTCTTTCTTTCTTGTAGTCAACATCTACTACTTTCTTAGTCAATTGTTTTTTTCAATCTTGATTATGATATCATATTGAGATTTTAAGACTGAGTGATGATGAAATTGAATACCAATTCGAGTTAAAAGCTGAAATTTAACTTGTGGATTAAACCCAATATATAACTTAATGAACATGAATTATTCGGACTCATCTCTTTAATCTTTTATGTTAATTTGAGTATATATTGTTTGAAATAGTTTATTCAAGCTTTGTGATCACATCAACCTCTTTGAGTGTAGCAGGAAAGCTCATGTAAGAAAACATCAAAAGCTGTGTACACTCCTAATTGATGTGCCTCATCAATGAAGTCGAAAGCTTTCAAATCAGCAGCAGCTCTTTGTATGCTTTTCCTCCCCAACCATGACAAGTTCCCATACAATACATTACTGATCACTGGTTAGGTGTATGAGCTATGCACACACACACACTCTCTCTCTCTCTCTCTGCTGTGGTACTATTGGATGTGAACGACCAAAAGGGCACTGTGGAGGTGAATGAAAACCCTCATCATAAGATATGAAGAGATTTAAGAGCAGCATTCATGTGTAGATATTAAGGATTAATGTCGCTGCCACCACCCATGCAAGCAGACATGCTTGCACAGGTTTGGGCGGCCCCCACGCCCACTCCACACCACCAAACAACAAGCTTCATCTCTGCTCTCCATGCGCTCACCACCCGTTCCTCTTCTCATCTTCTTCTTCTTCTTCTCATTCTTCACCTCTCTCTTTCTCCTTCCACCAAATCTCACATCATCTCCTCCTGTTGTACTAACTATAGATCCTGTGCGATCTCTAATTCCGTGGGAAGAGGAGAGTAAGAGAGATGAAGGTGGTCGTGGAGGTGGCGGACGCGGCCGGGCTAATGCCCAAGGATGGGCACGGCTCGGCTAATGCGTTCGTGGAGGTGGAGTTCGAGGGGCAGCGCCACCGCACGCAGGCTAAGCACAAGGACCTCAGCCCGGCGTGGAACGAGACCTTCGTCTTCAACGTCTCTGACCCTGCCCGCCTCGCCGACCAGACCATCGACGTCTCGGTGTATCACGACCGGAAGTCTGGCGGCGGCACCGGGGACGGTGGTAGACACGGTCGTGGCCATGGTCACCACCGCAATTTCCTCGGCCGCGTCCGCATCGCCGGCGCCTCCATCGCGCTGTCTGATGCCGACGCCCCGCTGCAGCGTTTCCCCTTGGAGAAGCGCGGCCTCTTCTCCTACATTCGCGGCGACGTCGCGCTCCGCGTCTACGCAATGCCGGAGTCCGCCGCGGAGGTCCCTGTCATCACTCCTTTCGTCGAGGTCGAGCAAGCTCCTGTCGAGAACAAAGAGAAGAAGGCTTCGTCGTCGGTGGTTCCGGAGGAGGAGCGGCGGGTCTTCTATTCGGTTGAAGCCGGAGGGGGGGGGGGCGCCGCACCAACAGGCGGAGGCGGTGCCGCCCCTACAACCGGAGGCCTGAGCTTCGAGTTCGCTCAGATGAAGCAGGCGATGACCGGCCAGCCCCCGGCCTTCAACATGTCGCCGGTATTTAACGTGTCCCACGCCCAAGCCCGGGCGGATGCGCCGTTCCCGCCGACGGTGATCCAAGCTGGCCCTCCGGCAGTCCGCCCCGGCAACGACTTCGGCCTCGTGGAGACCGCCCCGCCCCTGGCCGGCCGCCCCGGGTACCGCCGCGGCTTCGGCGGTAGCGACAAAATCGCCTCCACCTACGACCTGATCGAGCAGATGCGCTACCTCTACGTGAACGTCGTCAAGGCCCGGCATCTCCCCACCATGGACCTCACCGGCTCCCTCGACCCGTACGTCGAGCTCAAGCTCGGCAACTACAAGGCCACCACCCGGTACCTGGCTAAGAACTCCAATCCCGTGTGGCACGAGGTCTTCGCCTTCTTCCAGCACCGCCTCCAGTCCAACCTTCTCGAGGTGGTCGTCAAGGACAAGGACCTCGTCAAAGACGACTTCGTCGGCCGCCTCGCCTTCGACCTCGCGGAGGTGCCGCTGCGCGTCCCTCCCGACAGCCCCCTGGCGCCGCAGTGGTACAAGCTAGAGGACAAGAAGGGCGAGAAGCTCCCCAACGGTGAGCTCATGCTCGCGGTCTGGATGGGCACGCAGGCCGACGAGGCCTTCCCCGACGCGTGGCACTCCGACGCGCACGACGTTGGCCTCGACGCCCTCGCCACCACCCGCTCCAAGGTCTACTTCACCCCCAGGCTCGTCTACCTCCGGGTCGTCGTCCTCGAGGCGCAGGACCTCGTGCCCCACGACAAGAATCACCCGCCGTCGAACGTCTCGCTCAAGCTTCGACTCGGCCACCAGTTCCGCAGCACTCGGCACGTGCGGGGATCGCTCAACCCGACGTGGAACGAGGAGGTCATGCTCGTGGCGTCGGAGCCTTTCGACGAGCACCTCGTGCTCACGGTGGAGGACCGGGTAGCGGCCGACAGGGAGGAGCCGCTCGGACGTCTGGTTCTCCCGCTGTCGGCCGCCTTTACACGTACGGATCACCACAAGATCATGGAGCCTCGCTGGTTCAGTCTCGCCAAGCCGACGGCCTCAGACGAGAAGGCCGGCGACGGCGAGAAGAAGGAGCACAAGTTCTCCAGCAAGATCCGCCTCCAGCTCTACCTCGAACTGGGCTACCACGTGCTCGACGAATCAACCCAATTCAGCAGCGACCTCGAGCCGGCGTCGAAGTTGCACCGGAAGCAGAGGATTGGGATACTGGAGCTGGGAATCCTCGGTGCCCGTAACCTCATGTCGATGAAGGCAAACAAGGACGGCCGGACCACCGACGCCTACTGCGTCGCCAAGTACGGGCCGAAATGGGTCCGCACTCGGACTCTCCTCAACACTCTCACGCCGCAGTGGAACGAGCAGTACACATGGGAGGTGTTCGATCCCTGCACCGTCGTCACAGTCGCCGTCTTCGACAACTGCCATTTGGCCGGTCACAAGGACGACGCCCGAGACCAGAGGATCGGCAAGGTCCGAATCCGGCTGTCGACGTTGGAAGCAGACCGCGTTTACACCCATTTCTATCCCTTGTTAGCTCTCCATACCTCCGGCCTGAGGAAGACCGGGGAGCTGCACCTGGCGGTGCGGTTTACGTGCACGGCGTGGGTGAACATGGTGGCCCTCTACGGGAAGCCGCTGCTGCCGAAGATGCACTACGTGCAGCCCATATCAATGCGTCAGATGGACATCCTACGGCGGGAGGCGATGGTCATCGTCGCCGCGCGGCTCGGTCGTGCGGAGCCCCCGCTGCGGAGGGAGGTGGTGGAGTACATGCTCGACACGGACCTGCACATGTGGAGCCTGAGGCGGAGCAAGGCCAACTTCGTCCGCCTGACCACGCTGCTCTCCGGCGTCACCTCCGCCGGGCGGTGGTTGGAGGGCGTGCGGAGCTGGAGGAACCCCGTG